TGGAATCTTGAGTTTCTAGATTTGGTTAGGCAGCGCTTCATTGGGGGAGTGGTGATCGTAACACCGCCATGGTGGTTGCGTGGGTGGTACAACCACCACTTCAGCGATGGGCATTATTAGGATCTCTTCATTCTTCTATTTCTTCCCAATTTGTTTTACCGTCTAATATTATTTGTGATGCTTTGAATCAATCTTGCTATTTCTCAATTCCACTTGATGTTTGAGTGGTTTTGTTGCCATTTCTCAATTTTTATTTTGATTTCTATTTCATCAGTGAGATTGTTTTAATATTTGGGTATTTTTGGGTAAAACATATTTGGGTCAAATAGCTTTTGTCATCATTTGTAGATATCCATATTCAAACATTGTTGGGTTACTTTATCAGAATGCGTATTTTGCTTCCAAGACTTCACATTTTGTTGTGATGAAGATTCAGAATTTGAACATGTTCATTTGTGTATGATGATTGCTCTTGGTATTAATTAACTGTGATTGCTCTTGGCATGCAAATTTTGTTAAATCCTTGCTTTGTGTATTCAAAGTTTGGAAAGTGTTTAGGTTTTATCTTTTAGGATGTGATTTCTTTCTGTTTGATTTCATTTATGTGAAAAAGTTTTGGTTCATGAATTTTAGCTCACTGGTGGGTTTCATTAAATCTTGGGCACGACTAGAATGAGATGTTTTCCTATGATTTTGTCTTAGTGCAGAATATATGATTCTGGAAGTGGAGTGGGTTAAAATTTTGTTGCTTAATTGTCAATTGGTTATTGAAAAGTGAAAGAAAATTGAGTAGAATTGCAGTTTTTCAGATCCATCCCTTTTATTGTTTTTATGAGGTGTTCGGTGATCAAAGCCATAGCCGAGATGGTAGAGGTGGTTCAGCGACCACCGTCACCAATCTCTAGCTCATCATCGGAGCAAAAGTTTCTCCGATGATGGGTTTCTAGTTTTCATTTTTCTCTTATATATTTTAATATTAACTATTTATTCATGTGGGAAAAAGGAAAACAATGCCAGCTGATTTTTTTTTTTCCAAGTTAGCGCCATATCATTGCCTAGTCATTCTCTATTAATTGGGTAACAAAGAGATTGACGGACAAATGATATTTCCTGATGTCATAGTTAACAAAGGGGTGATTTGCACTGCCCCCCTCCCCTGGGCGGGTTAGAAACCCGCCCCTTGCCAAAATGATCAAAAAAAAAAAAAAAGGGGTGATTTGCGAAGTTTAAGTAGAGGCGCTGATTTGCTATGGTTTAAAGTATAGGAGCTGACTTGCCACAAAACTGCAAGTATAAGGGCTGAATTGCACCTTCTGCCAACCCTAAACCCAACGACTCTTCCTCTTCGAGCAGTGCAAGGAGCACTCGCTCTCGTACTCTCCAACCAACACCTGCGCATGTGTTTTGCCACGTTACCCCCTATTTTTTTTCTGGTACATACATTACCCCCAATTTTAACAGAATGGATAGGCAACAGGTCGTGGAATGCTTTGCCGAACATCAAACGTACACAAATAAAGGAAAGTTCTTTCTTCGACTTTTTTAATTTTTTAGCAGTTCTTCTACTTTCAACCAAGAGGAACTGAAAGTCCATCGTTATGCTTTTTCAGGAAATACGTTTGTGGATTCTTCATGGAGGCTTTCATGGGGTTTAAGGGATTCGAGAGTTGCCCTCCATCTTTTCTTTTCCGTCATGGTCAAACCTGGGTTTCTTATATCTCTAATTCTCAGCCTTCCTCTGATGTTTTTGTGTTGTATCGGCATCGTTCATTATACAGATTTCAAATTTAGGGTGATTTCATGGGTTTTCGCCATGATTTTCAGTCTTAGCTTCCTTCCTAACATCATCTTTTATGGATCTTCTCTCAATCACAGATTTGGCAAGATTTCCAACCTCTTCAACATAAATCTCAACATATTTAAAGGTTTTAATTATCTCTAACTTCAATCCAACATCATATTTGGTCACTAACTAACAACCTCTTCTCTTTCTCCAACTTCAGATCTGGTCAGCGAGCATCCGATAAACTTATTTAAGGCTAAAATTTCTTCTCTAACTTTCTCTTTCTAACTTTCCTTTCTCATCTTTTTGAAATTTTGGTGTGGGCTAAATCCAATTCACAGTTACCAAGAGGTGTTGCAGACTTGCAGGTGAGAATGGAAATAAAGAAGAAAAAAATGGGAACTGAGAAAGAGAGAATGTGTTAGATGAGGGAGAAGTAACAAAGGAAAAGCAAACGGCGAAATAAAGAGCTAAAAATTTTTTCTTTTATTAAAATGCTTTTGGTTAAATCTACTAACCGCTAATTTTAAGTTTGTAAGGACAGGTCCGAGGTGCCAAGCCTCGGACTGCTACAGTAATTCCTTTATGACCGAAGTGAGGAATAAATCCAAAGCTTCCCGCTCAAATAGCTGCATGACAATGACAATAAGTATGCCCGCACCTGATTTCTTATGATGAGCGGCACAGCAAGTATGGTGGACATCCGTATATCTGAATACCTCTCAAATTCCCGGTCCCGAAATAATCATCTGGATGGACACGTCAGGCTCCGATTATCTTGCTTGGCATGCCACGTGGATTCCTCATTGGATCCTATAAATACCCCCCGGGCCACGTCAAAAAGGTAATTGAAACCAACCCTAAGCTCTTTTTATCTCCGCCCTAAAGGTAGCCTCGATTATTGCTGACTTAAGCATCGGAGTGTCTACCCCGAGTTCCACCTCGGGGCTTTGCAGGTCATCTCGGAG